TGCTTCCTTATAAAAACAAACGGACGGACGAAACCTACGTCCCATGATTTCTAATGGGAGGCTCCGAAGTTGGATCCAACGAGCCCCAAGCTACCTTCCTCTCAACAGAAAACAAAATTTTTATATGATGTTTATATTTTTATATTCATAAATTCTTTTGTTTTATTACATAAAATTTGTTGCATTCTAACAAAATTTTCTTATTCTAATAGTAAATTTAATGAAACTATTATATTAGATACTAAATTTGTTCTGATGAAAAAATTTTAAAATTGATTTTTGGTACCCGAATTCGTACAGACTGGGAAGAATTAACAAACAAAAAGTTACAAATTTTGGAACATGCAGTCAAAACATCGTCGGTATCAAATCCTAACAGTATGTTTTCATTTTATTTATATAGACATGGTTCATTAGTACAAGGTATTGAAGCGTTTGTTTTTCATTGAAAATACCATCAGACGGTTTTATTCCTACATTTTTTTATGCTTTCTGCTGTTAGAGCCAGCGTCATTTGAAAGCTCGAATATATTACAATAGTAGAGAAAGTTTTAACGTTAATGATATTTTTGACCACACACTTTTGTAACAAGACGAACTTTAAATCACCCATTTGGAACCGATAATCTTTGGGTTATGGGGTAGATCCTTAACCGTCCTGTTACTATTTATTTCCAAAGCTTTATATTCCTGTTCAATGGCATTTCTCAAAAAAACTGTATATTTAGATTTAAAAGGTTTTTTATTGCTTGTGGTATCTCAACTTTTTTATCTTTAAAAACCTTCATTATACTCAATGTTGCACCGCTTCAAACTGAGGGGGGTCTTCCTCGCTCTCTTTGAGATGGTTCGTAGTGAACATTTGTTGCTAAATTATTATCGATCTCAGAACTGCATTTATTAAAACTAGGTTCTTAATTATTCTCATCATTTATATCGTCGACCTGGTCATATGATACTTCATTTGTCCCACGAGTTTCTTTGTTTGATTCGTCTTGAAAATATTTATTATATTCTGGAATAAAGCCTAAATCGTTCAAGCTATATCCTCCTCTTCATCTCGTTTTTCAATGACTTTTCCTGTTAATATAAGCACCTTATTTAAATTCATTTCATTTGATGAAATAAATGGCTGTGAAAATATTTTGCTTGCGATGCACGTTTTACATTTGATACCTTAACTATGAAACTATCAGTTTATTTGCTAGATCGCTCAATGACTCGTATTGCATTTTGAAATGACAAACAAAAATTTTTAAGAATATGCTTTAAAAATACGGACAGATTAGAGTTTGTTTTTGGTCGTACATTCACTCATTGTAGTTTCGATAACTGCAAAATTTTCTTTAAATTCAACTTTGATATTCTTCTGTGTTGCATGTTCTACCGAACTAAAGTCGACATTCATTTACGTACGATAAATTTTTTATTATTATATGGCCATACTCAGTATTGAACGACATGCCTCCTTTCCTTTTTGCTTCAACAGATTAATCACACGCCAGTAAAACTTTTTTTACAAGGAAAAACACTTCTAAGCACCTACCTAAAACCTGCGTAGCACCGTTGTCAACGCGCCACGTGTCACGTTAATCGATCGAAAACGTTTCATTTTTGTTGCTTTTGTTTAGATTTTTCGTTGTTTTTTTGTATGGCGTTTTAGCAATATGGTGTCGTTAACTACAGTTATAACATTTAATTTTTTTATTGTATCATTGACGTATTTATCATGGGCTTCGTTATCAACAGTATCAATATCAATGGTTTTAGATTAACTGTTAAATAAATCTTTTATTGGCAGGTTGCAAATAGTTGTTAAGTCGTATTTTCACATTCCGTTTTTTGAAAAAAATTTCCAATCCAAATTTGGAAACTATATTGAAATTCAACAAAAAAACATTCATTACTAATGCCCAGGTGTTTCATTTTATCTGTCACTTCCACAAACTCGTTAAAATACTGCCTCATGATCGTGCAATCACTCAAGCGCAATGCGAAAAGCTTTGGCCGTCTTTTCGGATGTGGCCACTCGGCTTATACATATTTTCCAATTTTGTCTAAGCGTCTTTTTTGTACTATCGGAATCTTTTACGTGATTGAATTGTGATGATTGTTAAAGCTCAACAAGTTTCTCCTATCTTCTCCTTCAATGTTGTCGACACGACCGACTACAAGACACAATATGTGTCAAATTACTGTCATTTAATTCTAATCGCGTGCAAGCAGTTCATGTTTATTGTTTATGAAACAATTTAATCATTGCTTTTCACGATTTAATGAATAAAAAAAAATCCTAAATGCATAATTACGCGTTTGAGCGTTGATTTAGAGTCTTTAGAGAAAAAAAATGGTAGACAAGAAAACTGTATATGCAAAGAGTAAAAGGTACATACGTACCGTTAATAATACATTGTTGTGAAACATTTCAAAAAATAAATATTCATGCATCAGTTTGCACGTCCAACCATAGGATTAAGCAAATTTGTAATATTCTGAAATAAATCTGTAAAAGTAAACTGCGTTACAAAAACATCTACAGTAACATTAAAGTAAACTATATTAAAAATGAAAGTTTTCGATGATTGCACCTTGCGCTTGGTTCGTTGCTGGTTTTGGATTATTATTACGTGGCTTATTTCGCTTTGCGGCTTTACAGATATTATCTCTCCGGTTTCTAGTAAAAGTGTTGTTGCTACTCGTTGTATAATGTTACTATTGAAGTGTCTCAAATTATTGTTTGTGTTTTTATGTCTATTATTGCTATTTTTATATTGAGTGTTATATATATTTTGTTATTAGTTATGAGGCCTTCTATTCTAATTTTGATTGTTGTTTGCGTATATATCACCTTGCATGTGCTAGATTTAGTTGTATTTTTTATACGTGGAATTTTTTTTCCGGGTTACGCCGGACCTTACTGCTTTACTGCAGTTTTATGCTTACCATCCTTTGATAAATTTTAGCCAAGGGTTCAAGCATTTTACAGAAGCATACCACTTTACATTTGCCATTAAAAGGTGTGAAACTCATATTGTACATTATGTAAATAAAACAAATATAATTATTGTAGTTATTAAGATTTGCGTAATTTTGGTAATGACAGAAATCATCTTTATTTCTGTGTTTTGGCAATCGTCTACATTGATTAGTACGTCTTTACCATGCTTTCCTCCCACCATGCTTATATTGTTATTTTAATTGGCAGGTTTTTTGATATACATTGTGGTTGGCTTGTCCTTGAACAGTTCGTAGTAATAATGGTAGACCTTTGCTCTTTTTGCTATTTTATTTTCGTTTGCCATTTCTTTTATAGCATTTTTTGACTTGTATGTTGGTGATTAGTTTTTGTTCTCCAATGATAAAGTTCTAAGGTCAAAAACTGCTGTGGAAACGTATGAAGGATAAGCTGGGGAAAGAAACTAGAGCAAGAGCGACGGTGAAAGCCGGTGGAGAAGAGAGTTGGTTAGGTGAAGGCAGACGCGAGAGGGCTAGGCTGATCATTCGACGAAAGAACAGGAAGTAGAAATCAATAAGCTAGTCCGCAGTCATCTTTCGTAGTGATCGAATTAATACCTAACAACGCTGCCGTGGAGGAAAGCGGCAGAAGAAATGTATTTTCTTGCAGTAGGTTTAGTACATAGACGCCACTCACGACGAGTCATTCAATTAATTGGAAGGGACTTTCTTTAATGGACAAGAAGCCACAGTTTGGGTTTTGTTTAAAAAATTTATTTAATTAAAAAAGAAAAAAAGGGGAACATGTTTAAAATCTGATCGATATGTACAAAAGTAAAAAATTAAATTGACAACAAATTCGTAGATACATGTAAATATATATATATAAATGTATATATATATATATATATATATATATATATATTATATATATATATATATTTTTTAGAGTAGATTTATATATACATATGGTGGGAGATATTTATAATGCATTCCAACACACCCTCTCAACCTGTGTATTTTAGATTAGTAACGGAATTTTTAAATTAACTTCGATCAATTCGTTTGGCGAACATGTCAGCCAATTTGTCCGCAGTTGGTGTAAGATCAAGTTGAATATTTCCAGAAGATATATCTCTCAAGAATTGATGTCAAATATCGACATGTTCAGTTCGTTTGCTTGCATATTACACGCTACACTAATACCTCCTTTGATATCCTCATATATCGTAATTGGTTCTCCATTCAAATCTCCTCATATATCTTTTTATCACATTGCTTCTACCGTGGCAAAACTTAAAGCCATGTATTCTGCTTCACTGGACGGCAATTCCACAGTTTGTTTTTTTTTAGAGCGCAGCCGCTTTGAAGACGTTGTAGAATTTTGTTTCAACCTTCCCCGGTATCCCATTGAATAACATTTACCTGGTCTTGATTCCAGCATGATATACATGAAGCTTCCATGCATTTCTCTAAATGGCTACTCAGTTTTATTTCTTTCAATTTAATTGTTTTTGACTGAATACCTTGTTTCACTGTTGTCTTCAGCGCATTGCACTCTGACATTGCAAATTTACTGTGTAATTTCTCCATGCTTTTTTGATAAGAATAGGCAATCATCCGATACTTTCAATTTTATTCCAAGGAAGAACTTCCATATTCTGCAATCCGACAAACCAAATTTTTCGTTGATTGTTTGGTTCAATTTTTGAATTGTACATGTATGTAAAGCAATATTTATGAATATTGTATTGAAATTAATATTTAAACATCTTCGCGTTTTAAACCAATAGAGCGAATTTACGCACATTTCAGGTTTAGCTTCCTCTCCTACTTGAATTTTCATATATATACGTTTTTCCATGTAGAAACGCGGTTTTCACATCAAATTAAAGAAAAATGTATTGCCAGTCCTATAGTTAATAGTAATGCCAGTCCTATAGTTAATAATTTTCCAATAGGTGAGTAATTATCACAATAGTTAATGAAAGGTTTTTACTGGAAATCTTTTTCTTCACGAAAAAAGACAATTTTGATTTACTTACTTTTTTAAGTGTATGTATAAGTGGCCAGACGTTATTTTCCTTCATAGAATTCAGGTACTTCTTAACGGCTTTAACTCGGCTGATTTGGGGCTGTCTGCAAGGCGTTTAAAAAAGCGCGGGTCCCAAGGTGTGTGTTGGATACCATAACGAGCTACTTGTCGAACCGTACGTTGGTGTATGTAAGCGACAACGGCACAGAACCGTATAAAATATTAGCAGGGGTCCCACAAGGGTGAGTTCGTGGCCCTCTTTTGTGGAACGTCATGTATGACGACGTCCTGAAGTTGCAGCTGCCCACCAGCACAACAAGTATTTGATTCGCCGATGTCGTTGCGATAGTGGTGGTCGCAAAGCATATTGCCGACATAGAAGCGAAAGCTACCGACGCAATCATGCGCATCAAAGGGTAGCTAAATAAGGTGGGCCTAGAGCTGGCTGAACACAAAATGGAAGTTGTGCTTATGAGGAGCCGGAAGAAGCGGGCGTGCGAGATAGGAACCGGGGACCACATCATGCAGTAAGTTCCCGCTCTTAAATATGTGGGAGTCATAATTGACCACCCCCTCAACTTCAGACGTCACATTGATTACGTGGCGAAAAAAACGGGAGGGATCCAAACGGCACTGGGAAGGATTATACCAAACGTAGGAGGGCTGAAAGCAGCTAGGAGGAAGGTCAATCACGGTGGTGACCTCGCTCATTATGTATGCGAGTCCAGTATGGGTAAGTGCACTAGCTAAGGCGGCACTCCAAAAATTGGCGGCGATATATCGCCTTAGCGCATTGAGACAGATTTCGGCATTCCGGACCGTGTCGGAGGAAGCAGCGCTAGTGCTAGCTGGCACTTCACCAGTCGACATTCTGGCCGATGAGATGAGCCGTAACTACGAACAGCGTCGCGGCAACGAGCTCTGGGAAATAACGACCAAAGGAAGATGCACGTTCATTCTTATCCCTAGTATTAGACGATGGGTTGAAAGACGCGAAGTAAATTATTACATAACCCTGCTTCTGCTTGGCCATGGCTGTTTTCGGAAGTATTTACACAGATTCAGGCACGACAGCTCGCCTAACTGTCCGATATGCGCAGATACGGAGGAAGACGCAGAGTACGTAATGTTCTACTGCTGCAGATTTGAGAACGGGAGGTCTCAAGTGCCAAGTAACGAGATCACGGACGTAATGATCGGCAGTGCAGGAGCCTGGAACGCCATAAACGCGTTTGGTAGTTACGACGTCTGAAGAGACAATGGGTGGAGATCAGGGGGAGTGAAAACCAATAGCGGATTCCACAGGGGTCCCACCATTGGAAGCGTGCTAAGGACAACCAGTCTCCTAGAAGTAATACCTAATGTTGTTCCAGCGGGGAAGAGTGGTAGATGAAATGTGTGTGGTGGGTAGTTTATGGTACGTAGAAGTCGTATTTGCTGGTACCAAGAAGATTTTTACCTGAAGATTTTCTATCTCCTGCTCGCAGAACAAAAAATTAAAAAAAACACCCACACACAAACACACGCACACTCACAGTGTAGGTGGGCCCTGATGGTATCCTAAATTGCGCTATTAAGCAAGCCATGCTGGCAAGGTCTGTTTGCGAGCACATTCCACGTTTGTTTGAAAGAACAAATTTTCCCAGATAAGTGGATATAACAAACGCTGGTGTTTCTGCTAAAGCCAAATAAGCCGTCGCAAGTTGCAAATACATACCACCCTATTTGTCTATTGGATACCATAGGCAAGGTGTACGAAAAGATCATTCGAAATTGCTTAGAAGCATCACTGGAGAGATTTAAAAGGCTGTCGGACTTCCGATTCGTCTTCAGAAACAAAAAAAGCCCAATGGATGCAGTAAAGATGGTCATGAATACCGCAGCAGAAGCGATTAAAGGTACACGTTGGATGGAAGGCAACAAAAAGTAATGCTTAGTAATAGCATTAGATATTAAAAATGCATTGAACTCAGCAAACCGGTATTGCGTCATAGCTGCCCTACAGGAAAAAAGAGTCCCACCGTATCTGACAAATATAGTGGCTAGTTATTTTATTGGCAGAAAACTGTGATATGTTACAGATAAAGGGTGCAGGGAGAGGCTGATCACTGGAGGGGTAATTCAGGGATCCGGCCTAGGCCCTACAGTGTGGAATGTAATGTACGACGATAATTTGAGACTACCTCTCCCAGAGGGAGCATCCATCGTGGGTTTTGCTGACGACATAGCGATAACTATCGTGGCGAAAACTCTGGAGGGAATTACCTCTGCAGCGAATAAAACCACCGAAATGATCAACAGGTGGCTGCGGGTGGCGGATTTATAGCTGGCGGAGCAGAAAACAGACGCGGTATTAATCTCTTTGAGGAAGAAGATTGAGAAAGTGACTATCCAAGTGGGAGATACGAGGATAGAGACTCAAAAAGCCATAAAATACTTAGGAGTGAAGATAGACTGCAGACTTTCGTTTAAACGGCATCCGCAGTACACGGACGCAAAAGCAGCGAAGGTAGCAAAGTCGTTGGCGCGCTTACTGCTAAACTTGCGTGGCCCAAGGCAAGACCGTACAAAGCTGACCGCAGATGTGGTAACTGCGACAATAGCGTACGGCTCTTCTGAGTGGAAAAGGGCCTCCGCTATCCCGTCCTTCACGAGAGACAAACAAACAGCATACAGGCTATGCGCTCTAACATAGTGAGGTTGACTTTTATTTGACACAAGAAATTAGCGGCCATGCTTGCTTTAGGTCATATTTGAATAGGTTTAAAATAGAGCAGGGCGCAGTTTTTGTAAGTGCATCGAAGACGCTGAACATGTTTTCTTCGTCTGTCCGAAATACCATAACAAACGACAGAGGCTACAGGCGGAAATTTGTGTGTTACCTCTCCCCGAGAATCTTGTGACAAATATGCTCCACGACCTGAAAATATGGAAGGCGGTAGGAATGCTCGCCGAAACATTATTCGAAAACACAGACACGAACAGCGTCAACGTAGGCTTTTAAGTAGTGCATAAACGGATACTCTCCCTGTGATGGTATGCCTAAACAGTCGTGCCACAGGGTAGGGAATAGGAGGGGTGGGTTTTAGCGGGTTAAAGTCTCGCACTGTCCTGAAGGACAACTGTTGATGATTTTCTATCTCACAACAACAAACAAAAAAAAAAAGCACACTCACATCATTAACTACACATGTCCAGCGATCCTTCATAAGCCTTACGTTTCCTCTTTATCCTACTCTTCACTTTACGAAAAATAAAAAAATTTAAAAAAAATATTCTTCATACTTACTAAACACTTCATATCAAAATCTATTTTACAAGAAACAACGAATTGTTCCTTCGAAAAACGAACGGTTGAATATCATCACATGCGTATCTTTTCAATTACACACCCTCACATTACGGTCATAAAAAATTTCCATCGATAAATTTTTCTTTATTATACACATCTTAATGAACAAACGAAAAGGGATTCCTTCAAGGATATACATTGTTTCTGATTTCGATAAAAAACTAAGAAACACGATCGTGAATGGAAATATCTAGAGAAATTACCAGGGAGAAAAAAATTAAGTGCACTCTGGGTGGTGCGACTATTTAACAATATTGCATTTCAGAAAACTCAAACGTCTTATGATTCTTGCTCATTTTTATTTTTATTATCTGTGTGTCCATTCGTATAAATACCCCGCTGACAATGGAAAAAGAACTAGGATTATGGCGCATTATAAACGATAAAAAAGTTCAAAAGGTATTTCATTTATTACCTTATTACCATTCTTTCCAAGTCTTAAGAAAGGATCGAGCGAATCGCATTGGTGGTGGTGTTTTAATTGCCATATTTGCGTCAGTGCAGTCTAATTCAATAGAATTTCCCACTTCTCTTGACGTTGAATTTATCCCCATTCGTGCGATAATGTCTGATAAACAGCTATTTGTAACCTGCTCCTATATTCCCCCAAATTCTGATATCTCCATTTACAAGAAACACGCTGGCCTCATTTGTGAAGTGGCCAAGCGGTCTAGACTTAACGATTTTGTCGTTGGATTGGATGACTTGAACTTGCCTCAAGTCACTTGGTGTAACCCTGATAATTCTGGCTGTTTGATTCCTACTTCAACATCTCATAGGGCTGTTGTGTTCTTTAGTAAAGACTTTAGTGTTTGATCATAATTTGGTTCAATATAATCGTATCCCTATGTGTAATGGTAGACTGCTTGATCTCTGCTTTGCCAACTTTCCTGAGATTAACGTAAATCGTTGCCCACCTTTTAGTTTACCTGAGGACCCTTATCATCCATCAATGTGCATTTCCTTTCAACATATTAATGATGGTTCGTTGAACTGCCTTAATGTGCCAAATCAAACTTTTTTAAATAAATGTTATGATTTCCATAAAATCAATATTGTATTGCTAAAACATCGTCTTTCACATATGAGGCTTGACTTCTCAACCGGAAATATTGAAAGCTTATTGTCATCGTTCTGTAATACATTAAATATTACAAGAATAGAAAAAACACGCTATTCAAAAAATATTCGAAAAGTGGCTCTGCGCTCGACTGTTTCGCTTACTCGGTGGCGAGGCATAGATTTAACTCCCTCAACCACCATTATTATTGCAGATACCTTTAGTTCATTAAATCCTCTCTGTTTGCTAATCCTAAATACTTTTTTAAATTTGTTAACTCTAAAAGAAAAATTTCCACATATCCGTCTCATGTTTCTTTTAATGGCTCTGATTCCTCGGATGATTTTAAAATCTCAAATCTGTTTGCTGAGTATTTCCGACGGAACTTTTCGATTGCTAATTTCAATTTATCAGCAAACTACCCATATCCTCTAACGAACTCTGTCTCAATTCCTTACTTGGTTATTTCGGAAGATGACGTTTTTAAAGGGTTAAGTTGTCTAAAATATTGTCGTGCGCCTGGACCTGATGGAATTCCATCATGTGTACTTAAATCTTGCGCGGTCGAGTTTTGTAGTGTGATCTCAAAGATTTTTAACCTGTCCTTGAATTTAGGTGTTTTACCTTCGTGTTGGAAGAATAGTTTCCTTATTCCTATCCACAAGAGTGGAAGGAGACAATTTGTTGAGAACTACAGAGGCATAGCCAAGTTGAGTGTCTTGCCCAAGTTGTTCGAACGAATTGTGACTCAGCATTTGGCCTTTGCATTAATTCGTATATTTCTCCGCACCAGCACGGCTTTCGAAAAGGGCGATCTACAATCACTAACTTGTTAGAGTTTACTTGCCACGTTTTCAAGGCTTTTTCTAGTGGTTCTCGCACAGATGTGATATACACTGATTTAAGCAGTCAGTTGATCAATTGGTGAGTCCTGACTACTGGGTGCGGCCCTTCGGGGAGTACTCGTGGTGGTTGTGGTTGGCAGTTCCAAGCCAAAGTGGAACAATCGAGTGCAGCTAGGCCCTCGCCACTCACCAGAGTGGGGTTTATTGTTCCATACACAATAAACTGATCTGGACTCTGGTGCTGTTTAGGCCCCTACTCTGTGGGGATTGTCTAACTCGCCAGGGGGCGTAGTACGCTTAAAAAGTGGTTTGGGCCACCGTGGGGTTAAGCCTTACAGGCAGGAACCCACGTTAAACTCTTGCCACAAATTCTGATTTAAGCAAAGCGTTTAATATGGTTAACCGTAACTTACTTATCTTTAAACTCCAAGCCTCTGGCTTCTCTTTCTATTTAGTGAAATGGATAAGCTCTTATCTGCACAACAGATCCTTCAGGGTTTTGTTCAACTTTATCACCTCGGATGAATTCCCCGTTATGTCTGGCGTACCTCAAGGAAGTCACTTAGGTCCCATTTTATTTAGTTTGTACGTTAACGATCTTCCATCGGTGGTTAATTCTAGCCAGATCTTAATGTATGCGGATGATGTGAAACTGTTTTCCTCTTTCTCTGTTGAATGGCAATCACATCAGCTTCAAGGTGACTTGGATAATTTTGTTGCATGGTCCTCTGTGAATCTTCTGAAACTAAATCTGAGTAAATGTAAGGAGCTTTCTTTCTCAAGAAGAAAGTCATTCGTTACTCAGTATTTCATTGATTCGCACAAGTTGGAAGACGTCGATTCGATCACAGATTTAGGCGTTCTATTTGACCATAGGTTACGTTTCAACTTGCATATTGAGGTCTCGATAAGCAAATCTAGGTCCGTGCTTGGTTTTATAAAAAGGTGGTCCAAAGAGCTTGATGATCCCTACATTACGAAAAGGTTGTACATGTGTTTGATTAGACCCATACTCGAGTATGCCTCTGTTGTGTGGTCTCTTTCATATAGGTGCTATGTAGATTTAATTAAAGCAATTCTTACTGTTTGACCTTAGAAATTTGGCTTGGGATCCGATTGCCTTCCTATGAAAATGGGTGTCTTCTGCTGTCCCTACCGTCTCTTGAGAAACGTAGGTTTGTTCTTGGCGTTTCCTTTGTAATCAAAGTAATAAATGGTGCTATTGACTTGTCTTTATTACTTGGTGAAATAAGCTTTAATGTCCCTTACCGCTTCTCTAGGCACTTTATCTGTAAATAAAATTAGTAGCTCTTTAAACCGCTCAGAGTAGTTTGGAAGCACCGAAATGACGTCTATCACTTATTCTCGTTATCGGACCTTTTAAAGTCCGTTAAAGCAACATTGCTTAATACGCGCGATTTACCTATGTCGTACTTAAACTAGCTTTTATCCTTAAAAGTCGTTACGCTTCCAAATCGAATTGTTGTTAAGTATTATCGGTTGCCAGTCTTATGAATGTTTGCGATGGCTTAGGGGTTCATTTGCAATTTGGTCCTGTACCGGTTGTAAGTGTGGCTCTATGCTGGTTGTGTACATGCTTTTTTTCTTTTTTTTTTTCTTCTTATTTGTTTTATTGTACTTATACTAAGTTTTATTATTAATTTAATATAAGTTTTGCTTTAAGTGCCAATTGAACTCGACTGTTATTTGTTTAGTTGAGTCTTATGTATAAGTAGAACTAAAATAAATAAATAAATATATAAATAAAT